TATATATATATATGTATAATATATATTATGTCATTCATTTATATGTTTAGCCCTTGTTTGAGCCCCATTATTTCCATTAGAATACATTTTCCAATAGTGATTTGACTTCATTTCAACCAAACATTCTTCATTAAAATAATATTACACGTAAATCCAAAATTTTTCTTTATTTTTTAACCACACATTTCCCATCAATACACTATTCAAAAATGCATTTTTTGGCAAGAATGGGGCTCAAACAAGGGCTTAGTTTGATTTTAACATAGTTGTATATGTACATATATACCCTCCACTCAAGTTGTCTATCCCTATGTGGGACAAGTGAATCTCTTAAAAAATTCTTTAGTTTTGATTTTAATTTATAGCTTAACATGCTGAAAAAAATGCTTAGGAAAATCCAAGCTGAAGTATGAAATGAGATCCTATCAAGAAATGGTTGTGAATCAAATGAAGCAGATGAGTGAAGATAACCAACAGCTGACGTGGTTTAAGAATAAAGTAGCCAAAGAACAGAGAAACAATAAAGCTCTTCAAGAGTCTTTTGGTTTGATATCTGAAAAGCTGAGAAAGACGATGGAAGAAAACCGGATTGTAAGACTGAGGACCAAAATGCATCACGAGCAACACAAAGAAGAGGTATGTTTGGTATTTTCTATATGTATATCAAAGCAAAAAGCCGATTTTTAATTGTTGCAAATGAGATAGAGTATTTAGTAATTTTTAGGGATTGGAGCTCCAGATCTACTTTCAGTTGGCTGTGAACGATCGTGTTAAAAAAGCCGGAATCAACTCATGTATTTGGGACTAATGAATTGAAAAACCTAAAGCCTTGTTCAACTACAATCCATTAATCAGTTTTTTCACAAGATCCAGAATATTAAAGTTTTGTATATTCATCGGATGTAGAGGCTGAAGAAATCTCTGTTATTAAATTAAGCGCAATAATTATTTTATTTTTTATCAGATGGATTACCAAGAGCAATTCTTCAAAGATCAAATCAAGCAATTATATGATGCCAGAAATGTGAAGGAGGAGACTTTTGAGAAGATTCAGCAGGATCAGCGTGTGAAGGTTACACAGACTGTAGTAAACCTGTCGACAATTGAGGATCGCGAAAGCAGGTAATAGCTTTTGACATCCTTTGGTCTCATAAGCAATTCTTTTTCCATTGCAATCCATCAGTCTTGGTGTGAGGTTTAGCATGGAATTCTACCCATTTATTGAAATTATGGACTTGTTTGATTGCAAGCATGGAACTTACATGAAAAGAAAATTAAGTTATTGCAATCTCATAAGTTATGTTGTTACTGTTTTTGTTACACATCTGGCATTAGTGGTTTTATTTTACTGTTCTTACTATTTTGATGACTTCAATTCAGGGAGGAGAAAATTGAAAAATTTATCCAGCTACAAGACGAAGAAATGGAGGAATATGTTGCTGAGAGGGAAAAACTGATGAAAACTCATGAAGAGCGGCTGGTTGCTCTGAGGCGTAAGCACTTGGAAGAAGAGGTTGCCCTTGAGAAGGAATTTGATGACAAATTCAATATGCTGATGGAAAAATACACCCCACATGATTCGAAGCAGCTTGGAAACCAAGAAATTTAGCCCAGTGGCCTTGTTATGGTTTAAATAGAACTTAGACTTTTAATACCCAAATTGATCG